ACGAGATGACAATGGCAACTGAAATAATATTAAATACAAAAGTGAAAAAGTGAACTAAATAAAAATAAAATAGATTTGTTTCCTTTAAACTCAAATACATATAAAATATTTATCAAGTTAATTGTTACTGCACAAAAGCAGATTTAATGGCCTATATTATTTAATAATTAAGCACTTAAAAACTACCAGTAGTCCAAAAACAATGAAAAATCAATTGTCTCATTACTTGGTAGTTGGTAAAAACGGTAGCACTCTACCTGGTGGTGACAAGCTAATCTTATCGCCATGTTATAAATAAGCTTGTATGTTTGTCAGATATAGTTTGTGTGGATGTAATCAGAGTAAAAACATGTATCACTATCAGATATGAGCACACACACTTAATAAATTAAAAAAAATGTTGAACACGTACCTCACGTGGTGCAATTTGATGGGCAATTTCATTCCTTATGAGTTCCTCACGTAGAGAATCAGACCCAAACAATGTGTGTGATCTTATTCTCATAAGTGACTTGCCACAGCTGATACATACATGTCCATGACTTCCAATAATTGGTGAATTTTCCTGTTCGCTAGTTGGATGTCGTATTTGATTCCAGGCTGCAGTCCAACATACGTGGCATACTACACTATCACTCGAAACTTGTACCTAATAAAGAAGCCATAATTATTGTAGAATGAAGAAAAGGAAGACATGACACATAATTGTAACTATTTACCTGCTGTGGTCGAACCCATTCTTGTATAAGATTTCGCAGTTCTGGAATTTCCAACAAATGCCTTCGTGTTTTCGCTATATTTAAACAACAATTAACACAGCGAAAATGTCCTCTTGAATGAGTTACCGAGGGCTGAGAAGAAGTCTGGCCGGCGTGGAAGCTGGGATCATTGTTAACAGTGGATATCGAGTCCAAGTTCGTGCAGGGGTTATTGAAGGAAGCGGGTGCGGAGTCCATGTTCAGGCCGTGGTCAGTAGGGTGGGATAAAATGTCAGAGTCCAATTATAACGCTTGTTTGTTACTTCGATAACAAATTCACAAAAATAAAAATAAACAAATGACTATAGTTGTAAACTGAATTGTGATTTCATTCTATGACAGGGCTTAGCTGTCAGACTCGATGTTGCCACTTAACTGACATAAAATCGATGAAAGGATATCGATTTTTATTCGATTAATAATATCGTTAAAAAAACAATCTTTGAGGCGCTTTAAGTTCTGCAGGCTTTTTAAAATATATTTTCCTTTATTTATTTAAATGCTATTTGAAATGTATTTTTAGGAACAGTTAAATTGTGTAGTTGCGTTCTGTTAAGCTTTAACCTTTTGAGCGCCACGCCAAAAACGCATTACCGTGTCCTGTACGCCAAAGCGCCAAAACAAAATAGTGTTGCCAAGAGTTGATATATCGATAAGGTGAAATAACTTGTTTTTGTTGGTTTTTTATGCTATAAATGACTCTTAATAAACTGTATGTTTTATTTAATCTTGTGCCGTCTTCCACTCTTTTTATATATGTACTTTGTACATATAAACATAAATAAAAAACAAACAATAACAATAAAATACTAGTAAACCACAGCACTACTCTCCATCCTAATGACAACACCGATGACGACGACGCGACTGGACGACAACGGCGTAGCTGACCTTCCTTTTTGAAACATTCTTAGAATGTTGTGTATCGATTTCAAAATCGATCTAACCGAAATATACAGACATCGATTCATAATACTTTATGTGTCGGGGAAGGCGTAGGCCAAGTAACGCACAGAAGAAAAGTCTTACACTCTTATGAAAATGGGGATTTGATATGATGCTGATTCTGCTAGATGATTTTGAGACTGAGAAAGAAAATGGCACAAACAAAAAACAAAATGAAAAATTGCTCTTCACACCCTAAGTAAAAAAAACATTAATTGTAATTTTGTATTATTATTAAAGAAGGTACATAATTATTCATTAATCAACAATTGTATATAATTATTCGCACTAGGTAAATCAGCCGTATAATACTAAAATCTTGGTCATGGAATAAATAAACATATTTGTTCACCAATCAATCAAAAATTCAATTCATCAATCAAAAATCAAAATTCATCATCATCGACGCTTTCCAAAATCCGAATGAGTTCTGAGGAATCGTTCATGTTGCATTGCTCTACTTTTCTCGGTAATCACTTATGACGTCATCAGGGTGTCGTCTATCCTTGATCACGGTGCCCAGTGAACTGATTTTCGATGACGCGCTAAAGATGCGCTAGAGTTGAGATATTAGATTTATTATGCGAAGATAATCTGATAACATTTTTTTATTCATGTAGCTAATTATAGTTTTATGTTTCTAACCTTTAATTTTATTCAAATATCAATAATAATAGAAAAAAAACACCATTGAGCTGAATTTTGGATAGTTTTCAAGAAATCTATGCCTCCCGCGTTTGACACTAGCGGTCAACCATAGACGACTTTGGCGTGCTGGACGTAGTATTTGCTTAGATAAAAATCCATTTTTATTAGTTCAATGTTTCTTAGTACTTGTGGCTCTAGAAGACTTGTTTTTTATACTCACATGTTGCTGGGCTATTCCTATTTTGAGGAGTGTAGAATTAAAATACCTGTAATAATTTTCCAATATCTATATTTCATATTTTTCGGAGCCGGGTTTTTTGTCAACTATAGACGTCGTTGGCGCTCAGGGCCCGCAGGTGTTGGTCAAGTATAGGCGACTTTGGCGCTCAAAAAGGTTAAAGGATTCATGGTAAATCAGCTGGAAACTAACTTGTTTCGTTACCATAACATGATTCTATTTTAAATGCATTATTATAAACAGATAAGAATAACTTAACCGATCTTCTTTAAAAACAGATAAGAATAACAGTTCTTATCTGTTTTCAAAGAAGATCGGTTAAGATTAACAGTTAAATTGTGCCGTAGCATTTGTTACTCTCTAAAGAATTCATTGGAAATCAGCTAGTAATTAGCTTGTTTAATTATCGTAACATCATAATTATTTAAAAATTATATTAGCACTGTAATGATGACACCGTAAATAATCGATCGAAAAAAGAGAATCGATTTTTTAAATGTGTTTTGTGATTGGCAACACTTTTTTTTATTCACAAACTAATGACATAATGATTTACCTAATTTTTATTATTATGTTTCCGGTACTTTTAATTTGTGCAAAAATATTCCCATTGTTTGAGGATAAATGAATACCGCGATTCATAACCATAAATAAAGATATAATTTTTTAACAAATTCACATTGTTGGGCGTTCCATGGCCGAAAATGGGCGTCCCCCTTTAAATTGTTAACGTTAAACCAATTATACTTATTACATATTAGATATAGGATCATATTTAAGCGATATATCATGGTTATCATCTACAAGATAATGTAAGTCATTAATATAGACTAAGACCAAAAATGGGATATGAAAAATGAGCCCTGTGGAAAACCCTAATGGGCAAGCGACAAGCGATCCGAAAGAGCTTTTACTATTGATGAAAGAGCTTTTACTTCTAGACCCCTCCCCCTTCAGTGCGTGTGGAAGGGATGCATGGATACAGAAAGGAAGGACACTGGCGAGCAATAATCAACCGAACAAAATATATTAGAGTACCCGATTCTTTATCCGCGCAACCAGATAATATTCTCGTTGTTAACTCTATAATCCACTCAAAAGGTTCAAAAAATTAAACTTAAATAAAAACTAAAAACCGACTTTAAAGAAGTAAAAAATAATAATTTATTTCTACTTATCTACTCCTCAATTAGGGTCTTTAATTCTTCCATACATAAACATACAATCTTTAATCATTCCATACATGTCTTAGCACTGACTTCTTAAGGTGTTATTGGAAAGTTATTAATTTATTATTTTTAGTTATTTGAGTTTGAAGGTTTTTTAGGTTTTTTTTGTTTAAAAATAATAATGTACGATTATATTATGTATATATGTATATATATATATATATATATATGTGTTGACCTTGATATCTCAGCAGATAAGCGATTGCCTTATTATAATATTAGTGGTCGCCCAGTTATCGAAATTTAACCGTAGTTCAGTAATTTTTTTAGTTTTTGTATTATGCGTGGTAGAGCCATGCTGCAGTTATATTAGTAGTATAGTTGTAGCGCGAATGGGTCGGCTCGACCTGGGAAGGACCACACTCTCACAGAATACCAGCGGAGTCCTGTTTCGTGGTGGTGACCGGAGACCCTCTTTACTGGAAACGAGGCATTCCATCTTTGTCCTCACGGGTGACAACGCATCTGCATTTTGATTCGTAATCGAGGATAGATGTAGATGTCTATGGGCCACAGCAACCACTTACCATCAGGTGGACTGTGTGCTCGTTTGTCAACCTATCCTATAAAAAAAAAATTATGCAAGCTATATTTCACTCTCAACTGCACAACAATAATGTGGCACATGGCATGTGTTAGCGGCTAACTCTGACGATTAAAAGCGAATTCCTCACAGCCTGTTAGTACACTACTCTTAAGAAAACACAATAGTTTGCGATGGCAAAATGTTTTGTTGAATTATCATATCCGCTTTTCTAAGTCAAATGAACGAATTTCACAAAATAAATTTAAAATCATTTCATGTTTTTTTCTTATTTGACATTATCAACCCGTCATTTTTTTCGACTCGTATCAATCAAATAGTCGACTTAAAATATCTGGTAGCATCACCTCATATAGATTAAACTATCATGCAACTATTATGCATATCATAAAATACCATTATATCATGGAATTATATAATGGACAATACACTCTAAAATATGTAACCTACACCATTCCAAAACAGGGTCCGCGATGTAGCTGTATTATATTGTGTATTAATTAATAATGAATAATCCTATCAATTTATGATATAAAAATTTTATTTGAACTTCGATATTATAACTTCATTTAAAAGCTTTTCATGATATATAAGAGATTTAAACATAAACAAACTGTGATTAATTAAATTTTTTTCAGTATTTTTAGTAAACGTAGTAAGGGTCCTGTGCACAAAGTTGCATCCGGTACAAAACCAGCGTTATACTACGTCCTTTAGAAGAGCCGCCCGAGCTGCCTTCATTTTAGTGAGTATCCCACCTCTTCATGTTAGTATTTAGTATATTTAATCATCAACCCAAATCTAATATTTATGACAGAATTTGAATCTCAAATAGTCTAACTTAAATAATATGGAAAAACAGACTAGTAAACTCTATGAATGACGAAAAATAAGAGACCGTCCCGGGTTCTTTCATCTTTAACGTGACTTTTAGATGATTATTGTCCAGTAATGTTGTACAAAAGTCTTTCTATGAAGATTCTGGCATGAATTTGGAACCTATGCCATTACTCAAAATACACCAATATTTTCATTATAGTAATAAAAATATAAAATACTCACCATGCTGTCCTGGGTTGGTGGCGTAAAAATATGCTATTGATTTTTGTTTATTTTCACATTGCTACAGGTTTGTGGTATATTTTGTAAAAAGATCCGAGATAATTCCTGTTCTGAATAGCAGCCCGGTCTGTATATATAACTGCTTATATTGATATTGATATTTTTATATCTATCTACTAAAGGCCACAATGTAAACTTAATAACTAAAGTTCAATTCTATTTCTTTCTTATATATCAATTTTTGTTAATTTTCCATCAAAGCTCCCTCTAGTTACAGTATTCCTCTTTTCATTGTTTAAAATAATCTTTATTTTTGTCGCTTATTATTGTTCATTTAAAATTACGTGATAAAAAAGTTTAATCACTATCTTATCTTAGCAAATTTTAAATTGATAGTAGTAATTGACAACAATTTGATACAGCAAATTATATCGTATTTTTTTTAAGCTTTAACTGTCCACCATACTTAGGTATTTTCTTACATTTTGGAAGCATTCAGAAGCGGGACAGTTATTTGCAGATAATACAAATACTTGATACGAACGGTAATCGGATCTGCTGATATAAAACAATACAATACCCTTTAATGTACACAATTTATTGTCCGATCATCTTTTATAGTTATGCACAGCGGCAGCGACGTTGCGATTCGCAACTCCGCTGCCGCTACACACATATTAAATTATACAACTAATAACGTTTATAATTTACAGATACCGCTGTTTGGCCTCCACTTCATGCTAATTCCGTTCCGGCCTACACTTCATTCGCCTGCTGAAAAACCATATCAAGTCATTTCTGCTCTGATGACAAGTCTTCAAGTAACGTATACCAAACATTATATATTTAAATGTATTTTTAAAGTAATATCCCATTTTCTCTATTTCTATTTCTTGAACAAATAGGTTTCCTTACAATGTTCTTCTTCATTGCTGAATACGTGTTAAATCAGTACTTTAAATTGCTGATAGCAAATTCATTTGTTAATGATCTACATCAAATGAATGAATCTTAATGAAGAGATGCAGGAATGATTTCATATTTCTTTGAAATATTTACTCTGTTATGTGGATACATTATAAGCGAAAGCAAAAAAAAAGTACAAGATATAATATATTAAATATTGATTTTCCATACAGTATATTTCATACGGTAAATTTAGAGCTTCATACTTTGTCTAAGACACACCACCCACAGTAGGTTATTTTTCTGTATCGTGCTGGCGGTTTTTATACATAAATTGCACTAATAATGCACGCATACGAACCCGGAAAAAATACTTGTTGATCATTCAAATACATGTTCCGTGCATGATTCGAACTAGCAGCCCCTCAGCGTAAACACTGTGTTTTTTTTTTTCAAAAAATAGCAAGAATAAAGAAACAAAACAATAAATGGATTAAACAAACAAAATAAAAAATATTTTTGGTATTAAGGAATTAGGTATCTTAAAATAGTACTTAATCGAAATTATAATCCAGCTCTTATTTACGCTAAAACTTCAATATTAATTTCTAAAAGCTTTGTCCTTTTCAGTCTTCTAAAAGTATTTATTATTTCGAGGAACTGGATAGCCTCAACATTAAAACGATGAAGTCTGCGTTCCTGAGCTCTATCATATTTTTCCACAATATTTGTTAAGTCCGTATTGAGATCTCTCTGAAGGTTGTCATTATTTTACTGGAATGCCTTTAAGATATAATTCCATCCTATTAACTACAAATACAAACCAAATGACCCATGTTTACATAGGAAGTATGCACAACTTAGCGAACAAGTCCGTTATGTTTATATGATTTTAATACCTAAAATATGGTCGCATAAAATAAAATAAGTGTTTATTTAAAGCGCATTCTGACAAACTATCTAATTCTTAATTTTTCCTGTTGTTATTCACTTATATTCAGTGCGGTTTTTGATTTTTTTTTCATTTAGTCACTAATATTCAAATGTTATGCTTTAAGGTTCCTAAATGAAGATTACCAAATCTTCATTAAGAAACCTTTATGCTTTAATCTTGAAATATACACAACTAAACACACGCCTCCTCGTAAATTGTCATAAATCACAGTCGTGTTATATATTTCTATAGCTTGAACAACCGACAACTGATTGGAAAGAAAGATTTTTACAGGCAGTCATGTACTGGTAAGCGCAATTTTACGTAGGTCTTTGTTGAATGAAAAAGATTACAATAGCACATTAGAGTTATGGATTTTAGGTCTGGATATTTGTGACATAACATCCGATGTGTACGTTTGCTATGTATAGATACAACTATATACGTACCTATCGCCGACTTTTATGACTTTTCTTATAGGAAAAGGGTGACAAGCGAGCACACAGTCCACCTGATGGTAAGTGGTTACTGTGGCCCATAGACATCTACATCTATCCACGTTTGCGAATCAAAATGAAGATGCGTTGTCAGCCTTGAGGACTAAGATGGAATGCCTCGTTTCCAGTAAAAAGGTTCTCCGGTTCTCTACACTCACCATACGAAACACAGCAGCATTAAGCTGCTAATTGACGCTGGTATTCTGTGAGAGCGTGGTCCTTCCCCGGTCGAGCCGACCCATTCGTGCTAAAACTATACAATTAATATAGCTGCAGCATGGCTCTACCACGTAAACTTATCACAATATAAATAGCGTCGTCTGTTTGAAAACGCTCGCTTGTTTGCACAATGCTGAAGACAAAGTGTCGTAGTCGGCTCGTAGAGTTAGGTAGATCGTCATCTACCTGGGCATTTCATGATACACTGCTATTTTATGTTTTAACCGACAATTTTCAACTGCGCCTTCCGTTAGCTTTGGTAAAATTACTAAAGCACCTATCAATTAAATTACAGCGAGCGCTTAATCCCATAACCCTCTCATAAATTAGACAAAGCCTGTGACCAGCAGTAAGACGTATATAGGCTGTTACTTTACTTTGCTTTACTTTAGCTTTTGGTTGAGGTGCGGCTGAAGTGGCCACAGGACACACTTATGACAATCCAAGGTCGCGGCCATTTATTTAATACTAGCTATGCACACGACCTCGTTTGCATTATACAATTTCTATTAATTTATTATTATACTTCCCTAATTTAATCGGATTATGTTCATAATTAAATGGATTTTATTTTTCTGCTCGGAATCCTAATTATTTTTCTAAAATATAAGTAGCCTTAGTTACTCCTTGTAACATCAGCTATCTGCCAGTCAATATCCGGAGATTAGCCAGAACAAACAGACAGAAAATTATTGAAATAAGTTATTTTTTATTATTATATGTACTGTATATATTCATTTGATTTGTTGCCGTTTAGTAAAAAGCTGTTATTTCGACATAACAAACATACACTTTAATTTTGTTCATTTGTGTATAGATATGAATTAGGTACAAAGTTATACAACGAATTCTCTTATACGCTTACTACGCGGCCTACATTCAGATCACTTTATCACAATCTTCCATACCGAATGCCCAGCCCTGTTATACACCTGATGCCTAGATTTCACACTTATATTTCCTACAATGTTGTTTTTAACTGTATTTGGCTATGATAATATTGATTATTTTTTCTTAAAGGGCATCTGTGTCGCAGTCCTGTTTTGCTTCACAAACCATGACATACTGAAAGCAAGCAAATTACAATTAGCTCACCTCTTCCGAACCAATGAAGTAATCCCTATGACAGGAAGAACAGGTACGACCACTTTATAATTATACTGAATTTCCAATCCTTTACTGTATTGACTGCCTTTTTAGGCCCACTGATGTACTTAAGCATCTACGAGAATGCGTCGGCTAGTAAACATTAGTTGTAAGATTTATCTTTACGCTGGGTAACCTACAGGAATGTACTGGAAATGGTCACGATACAAGTCTATGAATTTTGAGTGCAGATTATTTTAGGTGAAATTTCATTACTTAATGGGCCATTTAAATATTTATTCCTTATTTTATAACACGCCACCATTATTTTCTTGTAAAAGCATTCCATTATTTGACTTTAAGAGAGCCGATATATGTCTATAGCTAAAAATTAGCATCATTATCATCATCATCATTACAGCCCTTCACAAGTCCACAGCTGAACATATGCCTCCTAAGTTCTAAGCTAAATTCTAATTGATCCTAAATTAAATCTCACTCGCTCACTATTACCATTGCACGAGGCAAACAGAGCGATAAAACCATGGCAGCCCCTACCACGCTCGCTGCAACTTCTGCAACATCAGTCTCTACACAGGGAGGATTATACATACGCTACAAAGGAGAAATACAATCTTTAAGGCTCTTTCTTGCATCCAACTCGACTCTCGATGACGGGGGGAACACTCCGCTGACCATCCTGCGTGGAGAGGACTCTATGCCTGATGTGCGTTTTACACATTGCTCGTCACGTAAAACTCTCCTCTCCCTGGAAATCCAAGTTCAAGTGGACCTGACGGAATCCCTCAAATTGTTCTTTGAAAGTGATCAACAGAGTTGGCACTAGTACTACTCTCTAAGCGTAGTACCAAAACCATGGAAGACAGCTTTAGTGCACCCAATCTCTAAAAAAAGGCAACCGCTCTGATCCGCCCAACTACAGGCCTATCGCAATCATTTCCTTTTTCTCCAAAGTAATGGAGTCCATTATTAACAGTCAGCTCATGCGGTACCTTCAAGAACACTAGCTGATTAGTGACTGCCAGCACGGTTTCTGTTGGAGTCGCTCGGCCAGTGATCTTCTTTTTTATCTAACACACCGATGGGTGCAGGCGATCGAGTCGGAGGGAGAAGCTTTGACGTTTAGTTTGGGTATAAAGAAGGCCTTCGATCGGGTTTGGCGCAAAACGCTTCTCTCAAAGCTTCCTTTCTATGGGCTTTCTGAGAAATTGAGAAATTGCATCACCAGTTTTCTGCCTAATCGGAACATCAAGGTCGTAGTAGATGGTGCATATTCCGATTACAAACCTATTAACGCTGGTGTTCCACAAGACTGCGTGCAATCACCATCGCTGTTTTTTCTGCATATCAATGATATGTTGCAAACTGGTAACATTCATTGTTATATACGGCCGTGCCAATATTTCTCGGGAAAACATCACTAAGTACCGGAACAAATTTGTGTCTGAAGTCGAGACATTATTGAATAACGTCTTGATCCCCCAATTCGACTTTAATTCTCTATTTTATTTAATTGAATAAAGATGCTGGCACACCGCTTGTAACTTTAGAAGGCCCCGGTTCGACCTCATATGGACCACCGTTTCCATCTTTAGGCCGGGGCTCCCCGGTGCCAGCTCCATTCATTTGACCGCATCCAGCGCAGAGTAGTTTGAATTGACGGCAACCGAGCACTTTCTGATTGGCTTAACACTTGCACAACTAACAAAGGCACTTGCGCTGTGAAGACATGTTGCATACTTGCCTTTGCGTATTCTATCGGATGGAGAGTGTTAAGAGGAATTATTCGGATTTATTCCAGTACTCAATTTCACCATTACACGTCGCCACAGAACTGAAGATACCATTCTTACCACCTGAAAGAGTGGAAGTCCACTACTGTGAGATTTAGATGAAGTTTTCTTCCTCTCACAACTTATTCGTGGAATCGTCTACCACCAGCGATTATTCTGGACTGATACGACTTAGACACCTTCAAGGAAGGAGCCTACTCCTTTTTAATGCCTACACCGTATCGACATTCCCCTGGTATTGCAGTTGTTCATGGGCGGCGGTAGTCATTTACTATCAGATGAACCGCACGCTCGTTTGCCTCTCGTATATGAAAAAATAATTTACGTAGGTAGAAAATTCGAAAAAAGTCTCGAATTACGATACATACAAAAAATGAGGCAAGGTCAGAGAAGAAGAAGTAACCCCAGGAAGCCAAAACTAATGCTACGCCACTTTTAGTTTTAGATACGGGTCACAGAAAAAAATATTCGCTCTATTGTCTTTATATGAAGAATAAAGTAGAATTCGTTTGTTGGGATTTAACACTGCCCAGATGTTCTCTTAATCTTATTGCCATTTTCTACTTTAACCATTATTGAAAAGAAAGGCTGTTGATTTCACCTAAATCCCTAGAGGTGGCAATGCAATTGTGCTTTTCGTCTTTAGAATCTGGTACCAAACACCAAGACCATTAGCTCGTTAGTCACATTACTACTATAAAAAAATGTAGTAAACGTGCATTTATTATTTACTTTTTTCAGGCGTCACTGGTGGCGAAAGCTTCATGAACACAAGAGAATCTGCAGTCTAAACTTTTATTCTACATGTTTAAATATAATCTTCTTCATATAATGTAATGTTTATTATTTAATTGTTGATAGGATCAAGAATCTAAAAAATTATAAGTAGTAATCTAATAAAGTGTGAAGTTCGTAATCGAGTTATTATGACCGAAATATCTGAATGTATAAATGTGATATGTGTATATTAAGCAATAAAGATTTAAAATCTGTTACGTTGTTTTCTTGTGCTACTACTTCATTTAATTATCATAGGAAAATTTTAGCTTCTATCATAATTTTTCTAATAAAGGAAGTGTCTAAATGGTTACTATAATTCTTTTCATTAAAGTTAATGCTAAAACACTCCTGAGGGAATATAGTCTAACTTTAAGGAATATTATAATAGATTACTAATAAGCGGTTGAACTCCCCCACTCGTACAAGCAGCATGAGGAACTGCGTAGACAACTGGCTTGGATCATTGATCTTTCAACGAGTCTCTGTTGTTGTTGTCATTCTGTCCGCCGTGGTAATACTTTTAGTACCAGCAGAGAAGGTGACGTTGCAGTGAGGCCGGCCTATGTCGCATTGTGATGGGCTTTATTGCTGTTGCTTTGGATACACAATTTATTTTAGAAAATATGTTGTATTTACTTCTAATACATTCCAAGAATATTTTGTAATGTAAAGTCCGTTAAGTAGTGTTCATTTATTTAAACAGATAAGAGTATTGTTTAACATCGGAAGTGAAATATATTCCCGGTATCGCTCTCATAAATTAGATAAGTTACAAAAATTTATGATCAATAAAATAAAATAGTTTAATGTAAATTTTATAAACGGTCTCAAGATATTTATCATAATATTAAATATATTTTCCCTGTAGCTAGGTAAGCGAACTCCTCGCTGAAAAGAATATTTGTTTAAACATTTTTTTCATATACCAGAGTACAATAGCAGTATTTCGTATTTGATAAGTGTAGAGTCGGTTTTACTGAAAATCAGGCATTCCATCTTAGTTCTCAGGAAAGACAACGCATCTGCAAAAAAATACGCAGAAGCAAAGAACACTAGCAATGCTGTAAATACGACTGTGTTTCTATTTACCACTCCAACTAAGCTTAAAGATATTCACGACAGTGCTGGAAAAGCGCGTGGAAAAGTTTAAATAACTGAGTGTTTTATGTTTCGTAGTCCGAATCCTTAACCATTATATTACTTATTTTTAATCGAGGATAGATGGTAGATGTTGCAGGGCCTAAGCATGCACTTACCATAAGGTCTTCTGGACTGTGAGCTCGTATTTCATCTTTATTTTATAAGAAAAATTGATTAGAGTAGACAATCATGTAGTTTCTGAGAATCCGGGACACAACCAAATTCGAATACTACACATTTGTGTTTTTAATGAGTATCTGTCAGGTCTTCCGATTCGCCGTTATTATTACAGCCCTTCACAAGGTCACTGCTAACCATAGGCTTCCCCAAAGGAATTCCACAAAGCACGGTCCCAAGTCACCTGCATCTGTTGATTTCCTTCATGTTTTCCTCTTGTCAATACTGATATCTTAACGAATAAGATGTAATAGTGTGAGCTGGAAATACATGGAAAAATTAAATATAAAGCAGATATATGTTTATTACAGAATCGGGAGATTATATTTTTCAAATATCATGATTGAATTTAGTTGTGCCGTAAATAGGGTTTTATATTTACTTCAAATCATATTTTATGTGAGTAAAAAATATCGATGTCAAAAAAACATATCGAGTAAGTTGGTAAATTCGTTTAGAAGCTTTATTATATTGAGCATAATTTAAATTTTATAAACCACGCTACTGTTCCAAATCTAATAGTAATAGTAATAATAATGTCCTCCAGACCGAATTTCAGCCACGGCGGCCTACCTCAATAGAGGCTAGCCATCGGCGCAGGACAGGATTATAGTGCCCAAGCGTATGCGCAAGCACAAGTGCACTCTCTATTCCCTCACTCTCATAACCCGATGGGACAGTAAACCGACACGACCGGAGAGATCAGGCGCAGGACTAACGGCTTTAAGTGATTTCCAAGGCACAGGGAGAGAGAATTTATTGACAGAAAAACTCAATAATGGATTTTTTGCCAGATCCGGGATTCGAACCCAGGAGCTTATGATCAGTAGTCGCACTACTACAACCACCAGACCAACGAGGCAGTCAAATCAGTAATAGTATACAAGAAATGTAATTGCATCATATATACTAATCAAGTGCATGTACAAGTATGTCTCTATCGCCGGGGGTTTCGTATAATAATAAATTAAAAAATAATTACATACTAAAAGTGCGTATTAACAGAAAACCATACTAACCCAGGTATCCACGAAGAAAATACGAAGACTTAACAAAGAAAGGTGCTAACAATTAACTTTGATTATAAAATTATAATTTCTTGGTTTGCAATCTTAAAGATATGAAGGAAAAGACTAACTTTTGATATTTTTCTGTCAGAAAGGAATGAGTCAGAAAATAAAGAAACATGTATTGAATATATAAAAATAAATCTAATCATACATTCATTATAGTCACCTATCATAAGTCTAGTAGATGATCTACCTCTTCCATAAATTACTTCATAGGAGAACACTTACCATAGTTACTACGATTATAAATACAGGTTGGCAACTGAAGTTTTTTATTAGTTTGATTTGTTGTTAGGGACAATGTTCCTTTTTAATTTCTCTCCGTCGCCTCTTACGACACCTACGAGAATATGTGGGTAGGTGAAAAAATACCCAAGCAATGGCCACTAATCTGTGAGAGAAATGGACATGTAACATATTTCAACCACCAGATCAATCTCGTCAAAAAATTAATTTACACATTTTACGTGCGGAGCCTTAAAATATACACCATATATCAAATATGCAGGCGTTGGCGCCATCACAGCGTATTAGAACTGAAAGGTTACAAGAAGAAGAGAAAAACAAGTTCAAATGTAGACTGAAAGAAAGTATAAGTGGTTTGGATGAATTATGTATGAATGAGTTAGACTTGGAGAATGTATGGCAAAATGTTAAGAAAGGTTTAGTGTGCATCCGCTACCGAAGTATGTGGTGTTAGTAAGAGAAAGAATGAAAGGAAAAATAATACGTTATGGTGGGATGATGAAATACGAATGGTAGTTGAAGCAAAGAAGAGAGCATGGCTAGATTTACTAGCAACAAAGGCTGGTAATTCTAGCGGTACGAATGATGATATTGAAAGAAAAAAGGCAATCTTTAGAAATCTAAATAAGAGAGTAAAAGAAGTAGTTGAAAGGAAAAAGCAATAAAGAATGGATAAGAATGATAGAAGAATATCGGATAACTTCAAGGCAAATATTAAAATGTTCTGGAAACTCGTAAGAACTGCCAGGGGACATTCAAAACAGGAACAATATTTTGAACAGGAAGGAATATTTTGAAAACGTGTTTATGAGTGAGGAGACAACGTATGAACTAAATGAAGTAAAACTCCAAAAGAAGAGGAAAGAGGTAGCGAGATAAGTATAGATGAAATAATGAAAGCAATGAAAAGCGTGAAAGCAGGTAAGGCTGCCGGATATGATAGAGTTTCTTTTGAAATGCTGAGGGCTGGAGAGGAAGTGGTGGCAGGCCTGCTGCACACCTTGTTTAATTTATGCTGGGAACTGAAGCGGGTACCGGTAGACTGGTGCAAAGCCGTGATAGTCCCAGTATATAAAGGAAAAGGGTCCCAGCAGGACTGTAAAAACTACCGTGGTATCAGCCTTCTTAGCATTGTTGGAAAACTGTATGCTAAGGTACTGATTGAAAGGGTCATGAAAGAAACTGAAGAAAAAATTCGTGATGTGCAAGCGGGATTTAAAAAGGGAATGGGATGAACAGATCAAGTCTTCCATGCGCATGATCGCGGAGAAGTTTTTGGCCAAAAACCAAAAGGTTTTTTGTGCGTTCATGGACTTGGAAAAGGCCTATGACAGAGTGGATAGGAATGTGCTATGGCAGACACTGAACTCATTTGGGTTGAGCGCTGGCTTGATACAGGCATTGGAGTCGCTTTATAGGGACTCTAGTGCTTGTGTTAGGATCAACGAGGTCTACTCGGACTGGTTTGGCATCCATAAAGGTGTCAGACAGGGCTGTGTGGCTTCCCCGTGGCTGTTCAACCTACTTATGGACAGTTGTTTGCAAAATTTGAAAGTTGAAGAATGCGGATTAAGAATGGGTGAGTTAACCATCAAATGCCTTTTGTACGCCGATGATCAAGTTATTCTTGCATCGTCGGCGGCCGAGCTGCAAATGATGGTTACATTAATGAACAGATCATTAAAAGAAAGGGGTATGAAAGTGAAAGCAAGTAAGAGGAAAGTTATGGTTTTTGAAAAACAAGAAAGTAGGACGATATATAAAATAAGAATAGAAGGAGAGTTGATCGAGCAAGTAGATGAGATTCTATATCTGGGTTGTGTATTTAGCAGGGATGGGAGATGTGACAAGGATATAGAACGACGAGTGAATGTAGGAAATAGAGTAAATGGGGCCCTACACGCCATTGTGAAGAGTCAAAATGTGTCGAAAATGGCACGTATGGCAATTCACAATGCTGTGTTGGTCCCTACTTTAATGTATGATAGTGAAAGTTGGCAGAAGAAGCACGAGAGTAGAATGAACGCAGTAGAAATGCGGTCGTTAAGGAGTATGTTAGGCCTGAATCTGAAAGACAGGATAAGAAATTGTGTGATAAGAGAAGAGTGTGGTTTGCAAGATGATGTTGTGACCAGAATTAAGAAAGGAATGCTTCGGTGGTTTGGTAATGTGGAAAGAATGAATGAGGAAAGAGTGACAAAGACAATTTATGTTGCAGAAGTGAAAGGCAGAGTTAGAAAGAGACGCCTTAGGCGAAAATATATCGACCAAATTGGCGATTTATTGAAAACGGGCCAAATTAGGAGTACCCTTAACCGACGAGCATGTATGCGTAGGTATATGGATATGAAGGAGGCGAGAGAAGTATGTCAGGATCA